TAGACAAAGAGGTAGTGTTGTCGATGAATGAGAGAGATGCAGCTAGTTTGGGCATATGGCAATGAGAGATTGGACAATGCTTTAGCCAATAGTAAGAAAGCAAAAGACCACGTGAGTTACGTTTTCAGAAATGCAAGGTAGTTGGGGTAGAGGAGGGTAGCTTATGGTAGAATAGGGTTGAGGATTTATTATTTTTTTACCGAGCAAAATGCATTTTTCAGCTGAGCCTAAATTCCTACGCATTTGCAAATACAGTTCTTATTTTGTATTGTTATTTGGAACCTCCTACTTATTAGCCAGTACAGATTTCGCAATTTAAGACCTAGATGCTTTCTCTTGTAAAAAATATGTTTCTTCCAGGTCATTCTTCTGTCCAAGTGAATACCAAGATAAAAATAATATTTAAATATTAAGCGTATAAATAATTTAACAGATTTATCGCCTTTTTCCACACACCCTGTATATATTTTGTATATTTTTTGGTCCCGCCTACATTTAGCCCAAACTAGCTCCATCTCTCACGGACCTCTCTCTCTATCATTGGGAACGCTGAATAACCTCAAAATACTGATTGTGCCGCGTCCATACTTAATAGGTCTATGATTGTGACTATTGATCAAAGATTTGCTTCCAAATCGATCATTCAAAAGCTTCGTCGTGCTGATATCAAACCTACAGAATTTGTTATTGCTTCAAGAGTTGTTCGATTCGAATGATCCATTTTTTGATCGATTTTAAAGCAAATCTTTGATCAATAGTCACAGCTGATTTTAGCAACTTTTGTTAATCTTGAAAGTAAAAAGGACGTAGAATCTTTTAATAATGTCAAATTGGTGTATAGCTAATTCATGTCATTTTCGTGGATTTAAATTCCTACTGGAATTGGTCAATTTTAAACCTCTTTATTTACCAAAGGAATAACTTTATCATGTGTTCGACTGCAGTTTTGGCATCTCCATTGTCGTTTCCATAAGGCATTTGCCGGTGGGGCGTGAGTTCTGGGCCACCCTGTATAGTGAAATCCACACAGTACTACTTAAACCTACATATTAAACTTAATTCCACATGGTAAAATTCATAGAAAACGAGTAGCTAGTTATACATATTTTTTTCAGATTTTTTATACCTTCACACGCTATAAATCAACATCCCCGACGTCCCTCTGATGGAAATTAATTTGTCCGGTCAAAAATGACGCGGGAATAACAAATTTGCGTGCCCTTTCGCTTTCTGGTATTATTTTTTTACTTTGCATCGGTGACTCCTGACAAAAGGGCTCAAACCGAAAATCCCTTGCTGTTTAGTTAGGGATTTAGGGTCACGCTTATCAACCGGATTAATCTGTAGATTATCAATAATTGTATTAACGTAAGGGCGGAAACGCTAGTAGTGTTGACAAGCCGGTTTAAAGGGCTCTGATATATCGTTGGGAAAATAGGAAATTTTTCGGTTGTGTCCTGGGATTACATAAATAATTTTTTTACTAATAAACGTTACAGTATTTTAGCTATCGGTGTGAATACGATCATCGTCGGATTTCGAATTCCTAACGGTATTTATTCCGGAAAATAGACGGAGAATCCCATTTTCCGTGGAAACACGTACCGGCATCTTGTCGAACAATTTACCACACACTTTACCACTCGGCGACTCCATAAAATAGACTGGTTACATTCGCCTCTTTTTCCTTTTGTTTGTTTTCCTTTCAACGTCGAAACCTTCAGGGACGTAGCGTTAAAAATTCAAAAAATTTACCATAAATAAGCACGACCAACATTCGAAATTTTCCTAGCGTTTTCTATTCATCCCCTTTTGTGCATCTACAGATCAACGAGAATAGCTAAATACGTGACGTGAAGATCTTGAAGACTTCAGCTATTCCTATCGGTCTGTACACAATAAAATGAAAACAATCCGTTTAGCGTTTTATGAAGTTAAATGCTTTATGCGTTTACATAAAAAGTTTTTAATAATAATTGCAGAACGCGGGGAATTTTCTTGTAACGCAGATGGCCCGGCATCTCCATGCATCATTCAGAAAACCATTACAAAACTTAAGCACTGATGAAACCATGGGGGACCCTCTCGGCTCCCCCTCGAATGGCCCATAAATTATGGAAGAGAAGGCGCGTATGGAGGAAATGTGGAGAAATGCGCGACCAGCGGCGCTGGGAGTAAAGGGAGGAATTCCACGTTTTAATTTAATATCGAATTCGAGCGCGGGTCTTATCAAAAAACATGATAAATGCGGCGATTAAAGGGGGGTCGATCGGAAACATAAATGGAATTTATCGGCGTTTTTACCGGGCGGGATGACCGCGGAAAACATCATTTTCCTCCGCCACTGATTAATGCATGCAGCTCTTATTTTTTGAGAAAATGAAAACCGGGAAGTGTGGAATGAAGGGTTGCGCGTAAAAAACCATGAATTTGATTTATCGGAAAATTTCCGGAATGCTCAATTTGATTTTCTTGATAGATATAATTCATTCACTTCAACAATTTTTCTATCCTTTCGGTTCATTAGCGGTCCGTTCGAAACGAAACGTTTCGAAATATGAAACGTTTCAATCTTGTCGCTGTTCACCATCAGACACACCCATGCCATTCGGGCCGATCGCTCGGATCGGGATCCGAGTACTACCATTCCGTGATACTTCAACACCCATAAATCACTCACCCATCACGGGTACGCACCGTCGCCTTCGCATTCTATGCAGATTGGCACGTCAACGAGATTAAATAGAGGCGACCGTCGAGTGTGAACCTTTAATGTAGCAGAGGTGGGGCCCGATTCGAAAAAGGAGTCCGGCTTGATGGGCTTACATATCCTTGTAATTAGTGCCGCGGGGTACCCGGTTATAGATGTGTGTGTACAGATACAGTGTGAAAATGTTGATACAGAATTGGAAAATCCAATGGATTCAAGTCTGGCGATCGAGCGGGTCATTTAAATGGACCTTTCCTATAGCAATCTTTACTAGTATTGTACCTTTATTTGATGAATATCTCAGAATGAAGTATGGAAAAAAAGCTAAAAATAATATTTCAAATTCTTCATTATACTTATTCCTTCCAACTAGATGCAAGAACGCAAGAGCTGGATCACATTTCACTATACTTCTAATTTTTTCATGACACACCCTGTATATTATTGGTATTCTATTGAATGTTGTTTTGTTGTGATACGCATATCTTTATAGTGATTTAGGGAAAAAAATTGTGCCCGTCACGCGGTCATGTTTGGAGTTAATTGTGATACATGAGGGCGCCCGTCAAAACAGCGACCGGCCGTATTAATCAAAATTCGCCCTTTTCTTTCTATTTATCGGCGAATTCCGATTTTCCCCTAATAGATATCTGCATTTAGCAGCCGCGATAATCTATGTGGGGGACGCTGGATGTGATTGCGCCCGGTACAACGAATATTCGGAGAATTAATGTCTTTTTCGGGAAGCTAATGGGTATTCGAGTGTTGACAAAAAAAACCGCTCGTACGGGGCGATTTCGGATTTCGATATCGAGGGGTCGCGTTTTTATGGGCAATTTAATTTTTTTCTTGAACCAAAGAAAGGGTATTAATACCCTCTGAAATTGAATTACACCTCGCCGAACCTAGCTTGGCAGTTCTTCGTTTCCTTACTCACCAGTACTTTCAAAAATGTTTTTTTTTTCTTAAATAAAATCGCCCATTAGAGTCTATTTTAGCCCCAATAATCACAGCGCGATTAACCCTCTCTAATGCACCTCCTCGCACTTGAAACACGTCCTACATAATCCAACTCCATATACGATTTAATGACTTAATGAAATTTAGTCTATTTTATAATGGCGATTGCGACACGAAATCCGGCGTTGTTAAATCATTTTATGCGGCCTTAAACTCAGCACAATCGTACCGGTTTCGTAATTTTAATTTCGACTGCCCACCATCCGGCGTCCTGTACGCCCTTTTACGTCCTATATAGCTGTATTATTCTTGCATTAAAGTAGGTGATTCATTTTAGGAATAATACGGAGATTAGGTTGCAGAGCTAATAAATAAGTCGAAGTGTCCCGGTATCACTCACACTCTCTTTGTTCGCGTGGTTTTAGCACAAAAGACGGTGGGTGGAAAATTATTTATTTCATATTTCTAGTTCTGTATGCATACAGGACGTCCCTGTGCATACTGTATTCCTGTATTAGTTTTGCTCGAACGAATTCCACGCGAGAGATTACTCCGCGATTGTCCTGGGTTTTTGTTCCGGAGCAATTCCGCTCCGGCTTTCGATATTAATTTCAATTTCTTGTTTCGGGGGGGTAGGCGGACTCTACGGTTGATTGTTTTCTGTTCCTGCGGTAATATTTTACGCTCTCCCCTTCGGGGAATATACACCTAAAGCGATATTTACTAATTTCGAACGGGTCACGGCATCTACGATGTCCCAGCGAGAATCGCATTTGCCCCGGTTTAATTTCCAAAAGTGGGATTGTATCCGGTGTTTAATCAAAATTTATATTCGGTAATGTACTTAAAAGTTAGTAATTACAATTCATCACTAATAGGTAACAACAAATTCCTTTCAATGTGTACTTTGCAATGGTAATTATGTACTTCCTTTAGAAGAAATTATACCAAGTTCTGTTCCTGTAATAATTTAAACGCGCTTAAGTTTGGTTCTCCACTGTGTATAAAATGCTCGTATAAAACCGTATATATTTCCACTAGGATAATCCCCAACGAACATATTCATCTCCACTATATGTCTCTTTTTCGTGTGTATGAATATGCACACCGGCCGTTAAATAATGCACAGCGCCCGGAATATTCTCCGGCAACTACGAGGTGGGGATTTACACAACACATACGAATTCACGAAAACCTAGTGTATGCATTACTCCCGCTTTTTCCTAAGGGACGGATTAACCCCGAACAATAACGGGCGCCTTTGTCGAGCGCGGGAATCCCCGCGATGCAAACTACACACATAAAATGTTCACCTACGATTCCTTTGCAGACCTGAAGAAGCAGTTCGAGGCGAACCCGGAGCCCGCCTACATGGTGGAGCTGGGCCACCAGGTGGACCTGCGGTGCGTGCCGCCGACGGGCATGCCGCCGCCGCGGGTTTATTGGCTGCGCGGCGGGCAGGTCCTGCAATCCGATACCGACGTCCTGGTGACCAGCGAGGGGCACCTGCTGATCGGCCAGGCCAGGCAGCAGGACACGGGGAATTACACGTGCGTGGCCGAGAACATCGCCGCGAAAAGAATGGCTACCCCGTCGCAGATCATCGTGTTCGGTGAGTCGGTTTTTTTTTATACAGTGAGGACCAAAAGTCCGCCGGCCCCTCTTTAACTTTGGAATGGTAAGGGCTGTTGTCGCGGAATTTGGGGTGTTTATATTGGAGTAAAAATACTACTTTTTGACGTAAAAATGATAGTTGAAACTTTCAAAATGACAGTTAGGCATCATTTTGAATCTTGTTTTCTTATGGAAAGTGGGGTCAAGTGACACCTCGTTTTAAAGGTAATTTCATTCTTAAGTCAACCACCAAATTTGAAAACATTTTAATAACGCGTATTCACGTGAAGACGAATTTAGTTTTAACCCCCAGGCATATTGATGCATTTAAGAATTAATTCTGAACGTACTATAAAATGTGTCAATTAATTGTTGCTATGGTTTCTTGGCTCTGACATTTATTTATCAAATTTAAAGTTGACAAATAAATGCCAGAGCCAAGAAACCATAGCAACAATTAATTGACACATTTTATAGTACGTTCAGAATTAATTCTTAAATGCATCAATATGCCCGGGGGTTAAAACTAAATTCGTCTTCACGTGAATAAGCGTTATTAAAATGTTTTCAAATTTGGAAGTTAACTTAAGAATGAAATTACCTTTAAAACGGGTTGTCACTTGACCCCCCTTTCCATAAGAAAAAAAGATTCAAAATGGCGCCTAACTGTCATTTTGAAAGTTTCAGCTATCATTTTTACGTCAAAAAATAGTATTTTTACTCCAATGTAAACACCCCAAATTGCGCGACAAAAGCTCTTACCATTCAAAAGTGAAAGGGGGGGCGACGGACTTTTGATCCTCACTGTAGATGTATACCGAAGGAATATTTGTTTAAACTGTTAAATAGCTAACTAAAGATTTAATGTGTTGGTGAAACGTTAAAATATTTAAGTTATTCATTGAATTCATCGAATAACTATTTAAAGATTTATTTGTCGTTGGCGAAACCGGACATTAAACGAGTATTTATGACAAATGACAGGAACGACAAGTGACCTTTTACTCTTCTGTAACGCGTTCGCGTTTAAACTCCCAAATTCCCTGTAATTTAATTTAATTTCTGGCACATTCTGGGTTGTCAAAGGAGACGTCCGCTCATAAATCTAGTCATTTTAACCGACGCTTATTTTGATTTAAAGCCTAATTGGCGTCCCGTTTGCCTAAAGATTTTCTCCTATGATACGCGCCGACTAATTTGGTGGTTCACGAGTCGCTGTTTCCTTACAAAGGAAGAGGCACATTCGATCTTAATTTGTCTTCGGCTCCTATTTTTGGTTTTTTTTTCTCTTGGACTAAAAATAATGCCATGCATATGCAAAATGTGCATTTTTTGGAGCATCGAGATACTCAAGAGTTTTCTACTATCTACAAGACTTAATATAAAGCTAATGAAGTAATACTTCGTATTTCAATTGATAAATAAATCGGTGAGATTACGAGGGTTATATTTACCTGTCCCATAGACTACAAGCGACTGTATTATACAAAGAACCTCATCGTGTTAGAACGAGTGTATAGTAGAGGTTCCGTAACCGAATCCGCTGGAGCTTCCGAAACTAATTATTTTTTAAAAATAACTCCGAGTGAACGAAGGGCGTTCGCGCACGTCACTCTTTATCTTTCGCTCGAACGCTTCCGCGGAACTTGTTTATACTCGCCTCTTTCTTAATAATATCCCTAAATAGTACCGTAACAAACAGCCCTTTTTTTACTCGGAATTTGAAACTTACAAAACCAGAAAATTACAACGATTAAAATCCGAATAAACGGCACGATTGGACACTAAACAAACCGTAACCGGGAGGCACTTTTGGTGCGGTATAGTGAAATTTATAAAGGAGAATGAACGATAGTCCTGCCCTAACGCCCCTTTCCTGCGAAAAGGGGCTTTATTAATCATAACGTAATCCTCGACAATCTGTTCTCTTTCGTCTGGGAAAATTACATGCCTAAGTTGCGGTTTCGGTCGATGATAAGTAAACGTGTAAGCCCGGCACTCTAGCGAGGATGAAAAACCGTTGGACATTTTTCTTAAGGGGGTTAGATGCCCGTAAAAATTACCCGCCCCGTCTTCGCTCTCACCCCTTCGTTTATTTATTAATAAAACCCGGATTGTCATGAAAATAGCAAAATCTTTTGCGTACATTCCCGAGCTTTATTTATTAACATTAATCGCGTCGAATTTCATGCGAGACCCTACCGTTTCGGTTGAATAAAAGAAGAGCCGGTTTTTTTTTCCGGGGTAAAATCTCTTTAGCGGATACCGACTGGGGCTAATCAGAGCGGAAAGGTAAAAACACTAATTGAAATGAATCGCTCGGCCCGAAAAAACGATCCGGCCGGAAAATTTCCTATTAGAAAATGGGAAAATGGGGTTTCCCGACCGTTTCGAGGGGCACTATAGCGAGCCAATTACCGGCCGAATTTTGACCCTAATTGTTAGTGTGTCCAGTTCTTTGTACGCCTTCCTTGTACAGAAACAGACACTTTAATTCTAATCGTGTAGAGAATAAGAGCATTTCCGTTTGTTGGAGGTGAAAAACCCGAAGAAAACGACACGTGTCCCATTAAAACGGCGGAAAATAAAGTCGTCCGAGGAAATTTCCTCGTAGACTCATAAACCGTTCGGTGCGTTTTTTTTTTTATATAATTTCCTTTGGCACATCCTTCCAATAAATCCTCTCGAGTAAAGTAAAACTCTCCGGCGTATCCCTTCCTTTCCAATTCACCGTGAAAAATACCTTTTCTTGGCCCATTAACCGGCCGCCCCGGCGAAATCTCAACGAACGAACTTCCGATATTGACCGACATTTTTGACACTCTCGCCGGACATAAATTCCTCCCTATATGGAATTCGCCCGGCCCGTCCCGAGCGACTCGATCGCGCGAAAATTCGTCGAGAACGACTCCGGATTTTTTCCCCTTCGCTGGAGCTCCGCTTTCTCGTTGAATTCGCACCGATGTACTGGAAAATATGCATGTAAACATGCACTAAATGTTATTAAATTGTTTACTTTTGTGCGATTTATTATGGAAATAATTAGCTCCCTATACATTTTAGTAACTAAATACTCATTTTACTAGCTAATTGCACAATTTTCTAGCTGTATAACTACTCATTTCACCTGCTAACTACTCAATTTACTTCCCAAGTACTCAATTTACTATCTAACTACTGAATTTATTAGCTAACTACTCATTTTACTAACTAATTGCATAATTTTCTAGCTGTATAACTACTCATTTTACTAGCTAACTACTCAATTTACTTCCCAAGTACTCAATTTACTATATAACTACTGAATTTATTAGCTAACTACTCATTTTACTAACTAATTGCATAATTTTCTAGCTGTATAACTACTCATTTTACTAGCTAAATGCTCAATTTACTACCAAACTACTCACTTTATTATCTAACTACTGAATTTACTAGCTAACTACTCATTTTACTAGCTATCTGCATAATTTACTAGCTGTATAACTACTCATTTTACTAGCTAACTACTCATTTTACAAGTTAACAACTCACTTTACCAGCCAACTACTCATCTTGTTTATTTACTGGTTGTTACGAATCGAAGATGGGAGAATTTTTTTTGTAATTTTCGTCGGAGCATTCGAGTCGTAATTTCGGTCCCCTTGGCATGGTTTTTAAGCTCCTCGCCCGACCGATGTACACCTGTCGAAAGACAGGTGTTCCCCGAGAGTTGTCAGAAGTCATTTATTTTATAAATGGGGTCTTCGGATCCCTTTTGCAATATTAAAAAGTTTTGATGGAAGCCGTTTGACGGGTACAAGTCGATGGAGGAAAAATCAGGGTGGAATACCGAGAGGTGTTTCGCTTTTAAAATACTGTATTAAGTTAGCTCCGATCGCGAATGGCGGGTAATAACACTTTTTCGTTATTTTTAAGGTCGAAATGAGTGTAAAAAACTCGATTTTTTTAAGTATTAATTTGGTAGAAATCGGTCAAATTTCGATCGGTTTCCACCCTGTAACATCCTTTTTCGGTGAGGATTAGACGTGGTTTTTTTTTGTCGCCACTTAAATACATCATTTTCGGGGTTAAGCTATTTATAAAAGCGCCCGAGAAATGTGATTTATCGATGCTAGATGATCCAGTTATTAAAGCTATACAGGACAAAAAAATATTCCTTTCATCGGGCCGAATAGTACTAAAAATTTCGATCACATCATTCGTTTGTTAGTATCGTAAAAAGTGTTGCCAACTGAACAACAACTATAAAATCGGAGTTTACGTCGAGGTGCATAGACCGGTAATAAAAATTATTTTTACTCGCTGGTTTGCTCCCCCTATCGTAATAAAATTATGAAGATATAAAAAGTTATAAAAAAAAGGTGTATGTATTAAAATTCTCGGAATGGCTTTCGAATGTTTTATAAGGTGATAGGAAACTATTAAAGAGAAACAAAAGGCCTACAGTGTTTCGAACGAAAATAGCCTTAAATGAAACGAATTTTTATTATATAATTTTTTAATCGAATAAAAGATTATTTTTCTTTATATTAAATGTTTAGTCGAAATTAATCAAAAAATTAGATGTCGTTTAAGAAAGCTCTAGATTTTTGATTAATTTTTCTTTTAAATATCCCCCGGGATACTTGTTCCTTCTTCAAAGACTATCACTACAGTTTGTATAAAAAATAATAAGGTACAATTTCATCATAATCTATAAGAAATACACAAGTAATTTAAATGAATCGTAGTAAAATTAACAAAATACTAAGAACATAGTTATTTTTAACCGCGTATTTTACTAATTTAAATATAGAATTCGCCCTACAACAACAAGCAAAAATTTCAAACATTTTGTTACAAATATATACCAGTTTAGTCTAATAACTGAAGAAGAATGAATTTTATTTATCTAATATATATACAGGTGTAACGTTACAACAAGAAAAACATACAAAAAAACACGCACGTACTATAAATTTTCGTTTACGGCTAATAAAAGTTCCGAAATAAATGTAATTTCACAACAAACTATAAGAGTCCCGATTTCAGCGTTTGAATTGTATTTAAGAAAAAAGAAACATCTCTTATTTTAACGATAGAATCATCCCCAAAAGCTATTCCCGAGTTACCAAATAGAAGATAAGTTTTTCAATCGAACAACTAATTCATCATCAAAAATTCATACAAAATTTAGTGCCAATTTACTGCCCACTTTTTAATTTTAGTGTCCAAGTTTTAGTTGAGTAATAGAAAGAATATAACGGTGCTATTGATAAAGCTAGCACCAAGTCACATAGCTAATAAAATGATTCGATTGTACCTCGTTATTCGCTATACGCAGCTCCTTTACAGTCTTACCATTACATACGAAAAAAAAAAATTACATTCATCACAGGGTGTTTACTTAATCGCGCGGGCGCTTCTTCCATCGTCAGCACGTGTGCTTCTCCTTCTTCTTGGGCGGAATGAGATGATCGGGCAATTGAAACGGAATCTCGTTGCCCTGCAGCTTCACGTTGATGAGGTGCATGGCCAAAGCGAACTCGTCCTTGTCCAAATACCCGTCCCTATCGACATCGGACAGCTTCCAAATCTTCCCCAACACCGCGTTCGGCAGTTTGCTCTTCATCAATTCCTCTTTGACGGTCGCGCCCGACAACCGGCCGTTCTTCGGCCCCAACGTCTCGAATATCGTATCGTAATTGGAGCGCTCCTTGTTCACGATCCATTCGGGCTCCCCGAACCCCGCGTTACAGCCCTCGCCGCTCCTGTAACCGAACGGCGTGATCTTGTCCTCCACGTTGGTGAAGATGCCGCCTCTCACCTCGATTTGGGTGTTGGGGGAGCTGTCGTGCGGCACCATCGCCATCAACATCGAGATGTCGTTGCACAGCATATCGTCGACGACCTCCAAGATCTTGGGCTTGAGCGCGTGGAACTTGCTGAAGTCGTGCTTGGCCAGTTGCTCTTGCATCTTGATGATGTCGGGGAAATCGCCGATGGAGATTTGGTGTTCCTTTTGGATCTTGTCGTAGATCTGCGTGAGGTTCTTGATGAGGTCCTTCTTTTTGTGGTCTTTGCCGAACATCGGCATCACTTTCTTGATCTCGGAGATGATGTAGGCGTGGACTTTGGCCAATCGGGCGCGCTTGATCAGATCGTTGAGCTTCCGCAGGGCCGAGTTCTTCGGCAGGCTCTGCAAGTCGCTGAATAAATCCTGCGTTTCGTCGTCGAAGAGGCGCCGGTTCACGTCGTACCGCAGCGGCTCGTCCCAAAACGAGCCGATGTAGACCCGGACCACTTCGGGCGTTTGGAGCACTTTGCCCAACGACCACATCAGCGCCCCGTACACCCGCATCAATTGCTGGTGATCGATCATGTCGGCCTTGTTGAGGACGATGCGGATCTTGTCGTCGTGGCCGCGGAGCGCCTCGATCGACCGCCGGAATTCGTCCGAAATGTCCAGCTTGTGGGCGTCGAACAGCAAAATTATCCGGTCGACGCGCTCCGCGAACCATTCCAATACGCCGGTGAAATCGTAGCCGCGGTCTATGCGTTGCTTTTCGCCTGAAAATTCGAATTTCCATTCGGAACAGAATCCAGATCTGGTCCGGAACATCAAGATTCGGGGAAAATCTCGACCCTCCCTCGTTTTCCGACGATTGCGCTCGGGGGATTGGCGTGGAGTGCGTGTATTAGAAGGTGAGATTATTATGAAATATCGGCGTACGAGGGTGGTTCGGTGATTTATGGGGGGCGTCGGGTTGATATATAGGTCGAGATGCGGTTGAAATATGGGTCGAAATATCGACCGGGTTTCAGGAGAGGCACTAACTTTTTTACGATTTTCGACGACGGCAATTCAAAATAGATAAGTATAATTTGTATAAAATGTTTATGGGAGAAATTTATACCTGGTGGGTCGCGCTTAATGCAACAGAGAGTCGGCAATTGTATAGATACGAAATTGTTTTAAATAGGATGCAAGATGCAAGATACTAGATTATTCTTCCTAGCCTATACCCAATTCAGTGAAACTAACGATAAAATTAAAAATCGCCTGGAATTTTCGTAGTAAATTTGGAGGTAGCCCTGTAAATATCGAACCTTTTCTCCGTCGAGGTGTCTTATAAATGGCCCTTTCACCGGGTTTCCCGACCCTTCTGGCACTGAAGGGGCTGATGTTTAGGGCTCGAATCGCGGCGGAAAAAATGATAACCTGTTACTGAGGTCTGTTATATAGTGGAAGCACGGCCGGAAAATTGAGGGTAGTTATCGGAAAAATAGAATGACAAAGCCGAAGTTTGTCTGCCGATTCCCTTCGATATGCTACTTACCGGACAGTATACCGGGCGTGTCGATGATAGACATGCCTTTGAGCACCGAAGATTTCACCAAGGAGCATTGGAATCGATTCAAAAAAGCGTTTCCGAAACTGGACAGCGGTCGGAATTGCCGTTTCGGGTCCACCACCAAAGCGTTTCCCGGTATAACCCCTTCGTTTTCCGCGTACATCACCGCTATGAATCTAAAATAAATCGATATAGCGGAGTACTGGAGAGTCCAATGGCTTATATAAAGAAAACCACAACCTGTCCGTGGTGGGTTCCGGGCCGATGCGCATCCCGGGGAAGTCCCGCTCCAGCAGATATCTGATGAACGTCGTCTTGCCGGTGCTGTACTGGCCGACGAGCAGTATCATCGGCTTGGCGTCGAAGTCGGCGTCGTTCAGCGTCGGCGAGTGGAACTCGTGGAACAAATAGTGCTGCTCCAACGGCAACAGTTTGTTCTTGTAGATGGCCTTCAGGCCGTCCACCACGTTCTCGAAGCAGTGCGTCCGATTGTCGTGCGCCTTGTTCAACCAACTAAACATTTTGCTGAAAGAATATTATATCACCTTAAAATTAACCGGGGGAATTGGAGGATTTGGCATTTCTGTGACGTTAATTTTGAATGACGGATATACCAATGACAAGCGAATAAACACCTACACTCGAATAAAATGTGTTGGGGAAAGAAGAAATTGTACTAAATAAATTACTATTAATTATACTACACAAGTTATTGTGGAGGGTAATCTATGAGAATCCGATGCGGTAAAATACTCACGATAGAATATAAACTTGTACTTACTTCTACTATAATAAATTCCATATTGTAAATCAAAATTCCGAAAGAATTTCTTCAGTAAAGCTTAAACTTCAACGAGAAGAATCTCAATTTTAACAAAACAAATCTTTGTAGCATCCATCCAGTTATATAAAGAAGAAAAATTAATAAATTTATTTACCTTCTTCGCGATTCCATCCTGGGCATAGCGGTATTGCATCTCCTTAACATTTGCTTCTTTTTCTTCCTTTCCGCCTTCACGGGAATCGCCATGTCGTCCTTAATGGTTCCGTTGTTCTTGAAAGTTTCCCCGTCTTGCGGGCATTCGGTCGATGTGGCAACGCTGTCACGTCGGTTTTTCATCGAAAAGCTGGTTTTTCTGACAACGGTCCTGTCATTATCGTCATTTTTCGCGCTCATTTCCATTTCCCACCGCACAAACGCCTCGGGACGGATTTGATCGGGTTTCGTTTATTGGCTTTTTTTTAGTCGTTCGCGGTAGGATACAAAAAACGATAAAGTAAAAAAATAACACTAAAAATTATTTAACTGTATCTGACGGTGTGTTTTAGACATTATAAGTTATGTCAGACGGGATAACAAATGAAGCAAAGCTAATTTCGGCCAAGGACTGGCCCATGGGCGGAGGAGGAGCGGCGGAAAATCGGGAATTTTCCCCCGTTTTATTTAATTTCCGAGCAATTTTGGTTTAATTTAAATACGTTTTCTAAAACCTCTTCAAAACTATGTTAAAAACCGCTCTAAATAACCTTCAAAATCTCTTTAAAAACCATTCTAAAACAGCTCCAAAATAGCTATGTTTACTTATTTACACTTAGCTTTTGTTTATTTTTTTATTTATTTATTTATTTCGGATATATTTCCTTTATGAATTCGATCGGGCGACGACCGTGTCGACAGAGGATTGGCACCATTGTGATTGCGATGGTCAATTTAAAATTAAAGCTGGGATATGCTAATTTGGGAAATGCAATCTAATGTAAATTTATTGCTCGTATGTGATAGATTAGCCTAAATTGGTTCGACTACATTTAGATAGAACGCAGTTATCGATAGGCTATTTTTTTCATATATTAATTCTCGATTCGAATGATTCCAATAAAGTTATCGACTGGTAAACTAGAATTAATATTCAAATAACAGCTATTTCCACTACCGTTTCCGTTTTAATTTTCTATTTTTTTTTTCTATAAGACTTCGCATTTATCTTAAAACCGTAAATTTGTTGAATATATTCCGGCTATTTACGTGCGGTCGAGGCAACTATGCCGGAATATTTCCATGAAAATTCTTAATTAATCCGAAATAACTTCTGTTTTATCTGCTTGTATAATAAACTGACCGAAAGAGGACCGAGCCCTCCCCGAAGAAACCGGCCCGATAACTATCTGAAGAGTTTTCCTCGGAATTCGGGCTACATTCTGTCTTCAAGATTGTACGATTTGGTAATAAATTTATATTTCATCTCGAGAATGCGCTTTGTTAAAGTTGGTATTTAGTTTATCAGTTGATCGTGATGATTATTTCGAGCGTATAATAAAGAGAATAGGGTTAATGATAAAGAATTTTGTCGAATTGGGATAAGAAGTAGGGAAAGGAGTAAAATAAATATGAGAGTGTAGAGTGAGGAGAGTGAAAATGTATGATACAAGAAGATTGTTATTGGATGGACGTGAAACTGTCAAGAAGACTGACTACTGCAGAAGAAATTGTTACAGAAAGAACTTTTGATGCAGAAGAATATATTGCACTTTGAATTGAATTGCAGCATCAAAACATACTAAACTAATGCAAAAGAATTGATTAATGCAGAATACACTACTTCAGAAAAGTAATAAATTGCAACATGCGAAGTACCAGCTGCAAAAAACTACAGCAGTAGAATATATTGCAAAAGAAACTACAGTGGCGGAAAAACTCTAATATAAAAATCCCCTTCAATAAAAAAAATGGTATCATTCCGATCCGACACTGCCGAACAAATATACATCTCACCCACCCACCCGCCTAACTTAAAAACTCTCGTACATAAAGTTCCGCTCCAGTACAGTAAACTCTGATTGTTTTATTCACTCAACATACTTTTCCATGTCCCGGGGAGATTCGATTATATTTTTGTTTCGTTCTCGAGATGCTCGCGATCGCTTCGAAATTGTTTTTCGTATTCTCTTTTTTCGTCTTCTCTGTCCCATTCGCCGGAAATTGTTAACGACGATTTAACGTAGTGAAGTCTAGAACTGTTTAGAACTGGCCAGAATCATTTAGATTGCTTCTCAATGAATTAGAACTGCCTAGAACCATTTAGAAATCTCCAGGTTGCAGTTGAAACTACTCCACTGTTGTTCTTCATTTAAGAAACTCCAATTTAAAATTGTATTTGCATTTCAAAACGAATTAGCACTAACCCACATGAGAGGTAGGTAATTGTAGTCCAGTCTGGAAACGTCCGGACATGACTCGACGAAACCGCGCAAATTAATTTCTCCTCTATGGGAATCAATTTACGATACAAGGTATACGTTTGGTCGTGACTACGAAGACGGCGCTCCGTGAATGTGCGCCTTGTCTTTTTCACGGAGAAATTTCATGACGTGAGTTAATTAGACGAACAAGAGAAATTATTGTGTTCGAATTACATCGTTGCGGGAACGTGCATGTGCATGTAGGTGTACTATTAGCTGGATTTATTTTATCGCTTTTCGATTCGAAATTATATTTCTATACTTGTGTGTAAAGTACCAGTATAAGTTAATTTACAATCGATTTTTAATAAATTCACATCAGTATTGTACGTTTCTCTCACGTTATTTTATTCGAATCTCAAAGCGACGACTTATTTATTTTATTTTTTTCTTCTAACAAGTTCCGAATCGATTAGGAGTTTCCGATCGCGTTCGTCCAATTTGCGGCGACTGCGAATCCACGAACGATATCAAAGCGGAGCTCTAAAGTCTTTTGAATTAAACTTTTAAAAAAGTCCACTTCCACTTCTTCCTTTTTAACAATCCTTCTTTGTGTTTGTCAGTTGTTTCTACTCTAATCCCGCCAACTTGTGATGTGCTCCGATCTTAGTTTCTTTCGCTCTCATCCAGGACCGGATTTTGCTTTTAATCTTTAAATTTAACTAGGTTATTTTTGATAGATGTTCCTGTAGTAGGTACTATCTTCTAGTAATGCTTTTCTTAACTTTTTTTATGAGAAATTTTTTGTGGTTTTGTTAAGCTGTATTATTGTGATTTTATAATCACTACACTTTAGTCACTGTACTATTGTACTAGTGATTTCTTTCATCATGATTGTTGCTATCACTATACTCTAGTAATTTCTTTGTACCGCTCCATATTTACATAAATTTTTAGGTGCATTTGATAATATGCTCTGATGAAAATTTCCGAGCATTATCTGTGACACAAAAATTGGATCAGAATCCTTCTAATTTCATCGTCTTCCGCCGGCTAAATCGAAATAAAGGGGCCGCTCTCGTCCCAATTTTTTACCATGCATATTCGCCGAAAAGTGGGCCTTTAATATCGTTATCCGTAATCTCATCCACTTTTCCGCGAAATATTCTTCTGTCTCCCGACTTAAGGAGCAAAGCGTAATGAAATTTTCGAGAAAATTGGATTAATGTCGGCAGCCTATTGTTCTCGTTATTTTCAAATACACAAATCCCGAATTATGCCACTCAATAGCGCGGAATGGGGGGCCGGATTAATTTGATTTCCCCTTTTTGGATGGATTGGCTATGAAACCTCCATTCGCCCAGATATACCTGGAGTTTTCAAAAAATAATTAAACGTACAAAATGAATTAATAATACGTTTAAACCAGCATTAAAAATTCAGCATCATTAATTCCCATTTGACGTGGGGCGATTGTTAAACGAGTCCTTAAACATTTTGAAGACAATGCCCGCCCGCTGGCTTTCTTTAGTTTAATTTTATTTATTTTTTTTTTCTTTATTTTTCGTTTACTCGCGACATCGTCTCATTTAACATCGGGACATATTTCTTTATGAGAAAAAGCGCTGCGCTGTCGTTGCTCATGTATAGTATGCAGGGATTTTCGTTCCTGCACGTTTATTTATTACGATCGTACTAGGCGTGGGCGGTCGAATGCAGAGGCGGGGAACACCCAAAAGGCATTCACTACAAACGCACTTCCAAACGGGATTTTCCCCGAAAAACTGGCACTTTTTTAACGGGGATTTTTCTGTTGCAGTAAACGGTGGTTGGTCCTCCTGGTCGGCTTGGGTGGACTGCCATTGCCCGGGCGACACCCTGGTGGCGGGCATGATGAGCACCAGGACGTGCACCAACCCGCCCCCGAGCAACGGGGGCAAGGCGTGCCAAGGACTCGCCGTCCGAAGGACCAAGGACTGCGTTCCATGTCCGCAAGGTAAGGATTCCTCGTGGTTAATTTTATTTAAGGGGATGAAACAAACAACGGCCTTTTCGTTGTTCCTTTTTGCGCTCCGGAAAACGGGCGAAATGGGAAAGGTGTAATTTTCCGAGTAGAAATGTCGCTAAAAAGGGGTGTATTTATTAACTGGGGGGTTGTTTACTCGCTTTTGTCGCGTCTCCGCGCGAGTAACTGGCAGTCATTTTTCATTTTCGCTGTATTATGTGTACGTACAACCTACCCGGTTCGTTTCGCGTAAGGAAATTCCGTAATATTTCAAGGGAGTTTTAAGGGATTTCCGGCGACTGTCGTGTAAAAAATTACTAATTTATTTTGTACTAATTTTCTAACTTTAACCTCGCTTTTCTATCCCAATTTTCCTGTCGCCACGCTTACTTTAGAAGAGCTCGTATTGGATAACGCTTACGACTATGATACTAGCGATAACGCATACGGTAAGGGCCTTAAATATGCTTAACACTGTAGTAAAAATTAATTAACAAATTTAATTTATTTATCATTGCATGTTATTTTTTTGTGGTAGATTTATTATTTCGAGTGTGTGTTCGTGTGGATTTTATTTATGTTATCGCTTTTGGACAAACCTACACTCTCCTATACACTGCTTTAATTGGAAAAAATATTATTCAGAAAGTTGTGAATAATTTTTTCGATATATCTACAATTTATACAAATACACCACATTCGCGTTATTACGATTTTTCGCTAAAAAAAATGCTAAATAGCAGCTGAATTTGTCTATTCATTGTTTAGTGGAACCGGCCCATTGGTCTCCTTGGTCGGAATGGTCCGATTGCAATCAAGACTGCACCAAAACGAGGAAAAGACAGTGCCTGCCCGGCTCGGAGGGCGGCAGGAAAACCTGCAACGGAAAGGATTTCCAAACGACCAAATGTCCAACGGACCAATGCAAAACTGTAGAACTGACCAAAGTAGCAGGCGGTGAGTACTGATAAACTTTAAATGCATGTAGGTACACCAAGCTCAGATGTAGTACAGGTTAAACTCATTTTAATCCTGCTGTAATCGGTTACAATCTGTTATAAACGGACCCACTTTGGACCTTTTGTAAACCAATGCTGTACAATGGAATTACCGTGTACTTAGGAAGTTGTCGACTGGCGCCGGAGCGTCAACTCATTTTCTCATTTCCCGCTTTTTCTTGACACTCCATTAAAAAAGGCGATTATGCAAAATAAGCAGGAACGCTTCCTACGTGCCGCGCATTCGAATTGATGATGTTTTGATTACGTTCGAAACCTCGTATTTAACACGCCCCGCTTATAGGATTAACTTTAAATAAAATCGGGGGTTTTAATTGTAAGTATAAGAATCGTTTAATTCGACAAAATGGTAAATTCGATGCACTATTTATAGAAAACCGCAGATGTTTCTCACCCTCACGCGCCCTCTCAGTGTCGAATTTCAATCAAGTTTCACATGCACATATGCGCCTCTATACGGTAGTTCTCGATTGACTTAGTTAAGATTATCGAATAATGATCGAAAATTGCGAATTGATTGACTTATCGGTATTTATTAGCGACGAGGGTGGATGGAGGGTGTGAATGTCGAGAGCATTCTCGAAGGTATTTTCCGTCAAGATTTAAATAATGCGCCCCTTTTCCGCATAGAAATGCGAAGGGGCGACAGCCTTTGTCGCTCTTCAAAGGACATTCGCAGGACCGTAATGGGGTTATAATTCATATGAATATAAAAATATTATTTTTTGGTGTAAATTACCTACAGGGAAATACTTACAAGGAATTAACTACCCAGCTCTGTGATTGTATGTAGGTAAATATCAACCTAATTGTTTGAGCTAGTTCTGACCTGCGCTCATCCTGCAGGACTATTGTCGCATTTGAAGGTTGGAGAATGAAAGGAATTTCCATATGTGACAAGGGTGAATACTTATGGAATACCATTACAGATGGCATACAAAACATTGCGAAATGATTTTCCCGGTAATGCTTCAGTGTATAAATATTTCCAATTGTCCCGCGCGAGGAAAATCCGAAATCCCGGCTATGAAAATCATCACAAAACGGCCCGATTTAAATTTAATAAACTCCATTCTCTCGATGATTAATCTTCTTTTCGCGAAGAAAATTCCATTCTTTGATATAAAGTTGTGACCTTTAGGCGAACTTATTGGAGCGTTTCACTTCAATTTTCCGGCTGAATAGCTCCTGAAACTATTATATTCTAACAAAGTTATCCTTTGAGTCGTGCCTTCAAGTATTTAACGGCACGTACACAGAGGAAAATTTTCGAATAGTTTGCCAAGATACCACTTGATGCGTTCGAAAACGTGTAACGTACTATAATCATTTTTGCATTATGCACTAATGGAAATTCGTTGTTTATTATTTTCGTAAGGGCTGCTGTGTAATTTGAAGAATGTGCAATCAACCCATAATATCTCTCATTAATTTTCCTTTATATGAGACTAATGGAAGTTGTCTTTATTCGAATAATGACTCAATAAAATCAAGATGATTTTTCCTTGAGGAAGAAATGTTATTTTTTTAGATAGTAATCAAACTCTCGTTGAGATAACTTGTTAATTGTTTCAATAAGGGCTAAAACAAAGTAGCGTATTTAGATTGCACGCCCGGAGCAAGCGAATAGGTATAGCCCTCTAGCGGCGGATGCGCCATTATCTGCGGCATATTGGAATCCACGCTATATATATTAACTCGATGAATTTTGGAAATTTTGAGAAGAGGAAGAGGAAATTTTGATTCGCAATTACCAAAGTGCCCCGATCTCCCGAAAGGGACCGAACGGATATCATTTATTCCTCGAAATATTGAAAAATTCACGACGGGGCGACGTTGGCTCCGTTGCACCGGGAGATTCGCGCGTCTCTTCGCATAGAGGCTCTAACGGAATTGTTTTCCGTCGCCGGAGGCGCCAATTAAAAATCGCGATGGGACCGGTGTAGAGCCCTTTGCACCCCGCGTTTTTCCCTTTTAACATTTCCTAACCGACCGTATAATAGCTGCAAAACTCTTCAAGGAATTCGATTCGCGAGGAAATTTGATATACAACATCTCATCAGATAAAAAATTGTCCATACAGAGGGTTTGAATGATTATATTGCCAGGTTTTTCGCGCGTTGAAAATTTCAAGTACTCGAGGGAACTCAAATTGGATACGTTTGGAATTAAAGCGCTAATTTCGGAAACAACGGGCTCGTTTATAAATCAACTTTCGCGATAATCGCCTGGAAGCTCCGGTAGATGGAAGTTTGATTTAAGAGAAAACCGGCAATACCAACACTGTAGGGTGCATTTATAATTGGAAACGTCTGAAGGACATCGTTGGAAAAGCTCTCTATTCTGCAATTTCGCCGCTTTACTAACGCGTCTCGAAGCTCTTCAAGCATATTACGTACAGTCGTCCTGGTGCACGTTAAATCGACTGTATTTGCATTCGAACATCCATCGCACATAGGCGGGGTTCGTTAGGCGCTGTTTTCCGCGAAAATTCGATTTTCAATTGGCATCTAATTTTCGCTTTCTGCGAATGGTGGCGTATACGCGCAGGAATCCGCTCTCGAACCGCTCACGCTCCACCGCAACTCGAAAATTTAATTACCCGGTAACGTTCCGATATTAACGTCGTTTATCCACCGTCGGATCCTTTACATGCCCATAAGGACCGCAATTAGCGTACGAGTGCCGATGTCGAAATGTAGGGATGCAAAAAAATGCGGAATTTCCACGTATTTTTCCAATTATTTCGAATCGCTGGTTGATGTGGAAGCAATACTTGTGAATAGGCAACACTCATTACACTTTTGTAATCGCTATTTTTTGGGGGAAATTAACGGTTGAAGATTAAATTACCGATTCACAGTGCTGTAGAATGTTTCTGTCTTTGCAAATTTCACCAAGAAGGTCTTCTTAGAGCTACCAACTTGATAGCAATCGACCAATAAGCCAGAATTCTCATCATACACTCACCCAGTATGGTGGTATTAATATTGTTTAAAGCAACTTAAGACAGTTTTGTGAAAGAGGTACATTTTTAATGATAAATGTGTGAAGTGTCCTTCCATTTAAAAAAGGCACGTTTGAGCCCTCGAATGTGCAGCGTCCTGGGCGACTAGGAATTAGAGACAGGAGCGTAATTAGACCGTTTCGAGAGCGATGCTGGGCGGCACGTCAAAACCGGTCTTCTATGATGTCATGTCAGCCGGAGCGCGCGATTTTTTACTATGCTCGAATTGGAGTGCATAACTCTCGAGAGTTTTGCGGAGAAAGAAAGTCGAATAAATTGTCTGGCGTAGTCGAGAGTCGAGTCGTTGAATGTTGAATTAAGTGGCTCGAAAATAAACAAAAGCGCTTTTTTTTTAAGCGCGCAATGTACATTACAAAGTTGCTACCGGGAATGTTGCTTGTTATACGGGATGGGTACAGGCTCGAATTCAAAAGATAGTTCGTGGTGGTTTTTTTTTTCTTGTTTGCTAATGTAATGTTATGGAGATGGTTGTAGAAAAGGGGCTGTGGCCAAAAAAATGGCTTAATACCACACGCAGAAAAGGTAGTAAATATTACCCATCAATATTTATGCATTTTTAAGATCGATCTGTGTTCGATACAAGACGTTTATTAAGCGACAAAAGCGACTCTCTAGCAGCATATGCAAATGTTTGCGCGCCCCCGTGGAGAACCGTTCGAATTCACCTTTTGACCCGCCGGCCACAAATAGTGGCCCGCTCGTTCGCACGTGAGCCTCTAGTCGCGAGAAATACAAAGGCTTTTAGTGGTTTCGCGGGGCCGCAGAACGGCAAAAAAAATAGGGAGATTTATGCCCGGCGAAACGGCACTACCGGCCGGTATTTCACCGGGTAAAAAGCGATGTGTCTCGAGCCGTGGGACTGTACCCGACTTGAATATTTCGTCTAAAGTGCATCGGGATTCTCACGAATAGATAGTTTTTTTTTTATTTAAATTACACGTATACTTTAACGTGTATTATGCATTGCATGCGGATGTGTGGAAGAGTACCTGCCGTGATAAAATGGCGCTAGTACAGAAATAAAGATAAGATAAAGAATTACCTTCGAATTACTTAGGAATAAATGCAAGAAAATTAAATGCAATTAACACAATTTCGCCGTAAGGATTTAACAACGCTCGCAGGAAACGTAAAATATCAAACGTAATTTTTGAACAACTTTACGATCGCTGTTTATACGACTTTTTTATTATTTAACTTTTATTGTTGTTTGAATGCCGGTTAATAATCGATTCCGTATAAAAATGTTTCAGTAAGTATCGCCCAAAACGTGACCGAGCCACTCGCATTGTCTCTATCCAGATCCGAACGATTGTCGGTAATAAAAAAAATAATTCCGCGTCCAAATAAAACAATAAAAAAATAAACAGTACCCGGAGATTTATAGCATGTTATAGGATGTCCCAAAAAATATCCCACCATTTCCTTGTGATAAAAGATAAACCAAGATCACCAAGATATCACTTGATTTGACACCGTTAGACTTCTTTCTTTTGTGACACCCGATATAACAGTGTAGTAAACGTAAATTGATTTATTTTCCCGTAATTATAGCAGCGACGTAAACGGTTGAATGATTTCCAAAGCGTTGTCGTCTTCTATTTCGACGGTGCAGGATATTCCCGAAAATCTCGAAACGCTGAAATGTGTTTCTGTTCAACGGGTCGGGATTCTTCGATCGAGTGTTTCTTTTTGGTGCGAGGCCCGTTCAAAATTAGAAAGCGAAAACGAAACGCCGCGCGTAATAAACACGTGAATAACCCGCTGAAACCTGGAAGCTTTTAGAAGTCCGTGTAACATTCCACCGAAAGCGATTCGGCTTCGCTCTATAAATCACTTTGTTTAATATTTCACAAAAGGTGTTTACGGTTTTCGAAACGAACGTTTCTATAATGCATTTTGTCTCTGTG